CCATCGTCTGAGCTGAGCTGGTGGTTTGGGTTTCTCCTACAGCTGGTGAAGGGAGAGGCTCTACAGGAGGTAGTTTTAGCCCTACCTGTTTTAGGACAGGATGCGTTATCCTGCAGAGATCTTTATTTTAGGCTCAGACAGGCTGCTAGTGGCCGAAGGAGGCTGCGGGGAGGACGAAGCAGGGGCAGAGGGTTTCTAGCCGTCCTTTCCATACGTTCGGCTTTGCCGAAATCCCTGTGACAGCTGGACTGACCAAAGAGACCTGCAAGAAGAGTCTTCACTTTTTTTTCCATCATTTTTTTTTTCCTTTTATCCTTAATTGCTTTTAACTGATCGGTTCATTGCTTTTCTGCGTTGACCATCATGCAAGTGGGAATTTTAGAGACGTTATGGGTTAGATTCAGTAGCTTAAGCGCAGGCTCGTAAGGACCCAGGAGGGTGTGGATCTCTTGTAGGTCCCACGTCACATCTGCCAGCCACTCGTGAAGGGGCTTTTCCCCACGCTGGCCTTGTTTGGTGAGCACTGGAGGAGCCTCAGCTGCTTTGTTGAATGCCTTTTAGGAAATAGGACGATAGATGATGTGTGTGAGTTTAATTGCCTTTATACTAAAAGTTAGTCGTAGCTTGTGCATGGTTTTTATACTCTTTTTATCAAGGTAAATCCCTATTTTTCCTCACACGTTTCAGTTTTCCAGCAGAAGCCAGCACAGCGAGACTCACCTATGCCTGAATCAAACCCAAAACTGTCCAATGGCAAATTTATTGCGTGGTGTATAAACAGAGAAGGCTGTAAAGATGCAAAAGCGCAGCTCTGCTGGAAATTACCTGAAACCTAATAAACTATTAACCTTTTTGGATTACACGTGACTGGTATTTTTTTTTTTTTAATGCAACAGAAGTAACCGGATTGCTTGGTCAGGTGTTTTGTATTAAGATGAAACCTTGGGAATACTCCACAATAATTGCCTTTATTTGCTGCAGCTTCGGTTTCACTGGGGCAACATTTGCAGATGTTTGGCCAGGTCTGAATGGGGCACACTTTGATGATGCTTTTGGCCTTTCTGAGAGGAAAGGTGGCTCAGCGGTCAGAGCCCTACCCCAAGCTGTTTAGACCTGGAGTTTGTTGTCTTTCCTTGTCCTGGACCTTCGGGGTGTCCTTGGTAGGCATCCCAAGGAGAATCATAGAATCATAAAGGTTGGAAAAGACCTCTAAGATCATCGAGTCCAACCGTCAACCCAACACCCCCATGCCCACTAAACCATGTCCCTAAGCGCCACATCTACCCGTCTTTTAAATACCTCCAGGGATGGTGACTCCACCACTTCCCTGGGCAGCCTGGTCCAATCTTTAACCACTCTTTCAGTAAAGACATTTTTCCTCACGTCCAATCTAAACCTCCCCTGGCGCAACTTGAGGCCGTTTCCTCTCGTCCTGTCACTTGTCCCTTGGGAGAAGAGACCGACCCCCACCTCGCTACAACCTCCTTTCAGGTGGTTGTAGAGAGTGATGAGGTCTCCCCTCAGCCTCCCTTTCTCCAGGCTAAACAACCCCAGCTCCCTCAGCCGCTCCTCATCAGACTTGTTCTCCAGACCCTTCACCAGCCTCGTTGCCCTTCTCTGGACACGCTCCAGCACCTCGACGTCCTTCTTGGAGTGAGGGGCCCAAAACTGAACACAGTATTCGAGGTGCGGCCTCACCAGTGCCAAGTACAGGGGCACGATCACTTCCCTGCTCCTGCTGGCCACACTATTTCTGATACAAGCCAGGATGCCATTGGCCTTCTTGGCCGCCTGGGCACACTGCCGGCTCATGTTCAGCCGGCTGTCGACCAGCACCCCCAGGCCCTTTTCCGCCAGGCAGCTTTCCAGCCACTCTTCCCCAAGCCTGTAGCACTGCGTGGGGTTGTTGTGGCCGAAGTCCAGGACCCAAAGAAGCCTTGGTCAGGAGTGGCTGTGGGAGGCAGCTGCCATGCACTCACATTGCACCGTGGTGGGAGGAGACCTGCAGCCCGTGTGGTTGCACCCCTGGAGAGCTTTCCTCCTGACGGAAGAAGTGATGTGTGTCCTCAGGATGGCACCACGGCTGGAGATGCCCCTGGGTGAGGAGCACTGGCCCGTCTCCCCCCAGGTCTTGCCATCCTTCTTCTGGGTCTAGGTCTTGGTTTCAGTATGTTTATGGCTTCCAAAAAGGTGTGTTGCCATGGCCTGTCTGATGGCACCCGGGGGACCGAGCGCTCATTGCGTGATGCAGCATGCTCAGCTCTCCTGGCCCCGCCATCCCTACGGGTGGTGAACCAGACATGAGCCAGCAGTGACCCCACCGTCCCAATCCGCCCAGCGCTTGCTCAAGCGGCATTCCCAGAAAGGGAGCATTACACCCACGCGCACCCACCCCAACGGGACAGCAGTCACCCTCCTGATTGTGCCACCGGGCCAAGCCAGTCTCACCCACCCTGTAGAGATGTTGGAAGGTGCTTTGCTCCGCTCCAGGACCAGGGACGGGGTAGGGGCATGGGGTCCTGGGGACCGGGCTATGAGCCCGAGTGGCCTGGGTTAGCTGCAAGCTGCAGCGGGGAGCGGGCAGCACCCCACAGGCAGCGAGGGACTTGCAGCAGCACCTTAAAGCTTCCTCCCCACCTTGCCCCCTGCCAGAGTCCGATGGTCGTGGGTGCACGGCTTGCACGGCTCACGCCAAGGCCGAGAGCAGCGGTGGTCTGGGGTCAGCTCAGCTCCCTCTGGTCCTCCGTGCCTCAGTTTCCCCGTGAGCGCAGCAGGGGACAAGCACCTCTCTCCTCTCCAGAGGCTGCGGTTGCTCCTGCCCACCGTGGGCTGAGCTGCTCGGGAATTGGGCAGCGAAGGGAGAGCGAAAGGCGTGGAGACCCAAAAATGTCTTTACTGAAAGAGTGGTTAAACCTTGGACCAGGCTGCCCAGGGAAGTGGTGGAGTCACCATCCCTGGAAGTATTT